AATGAAACAATCATGGAAGAACATCCTGAGAATTCTTGCGGGAACTTTAGGGTCAAAAGTTGAAGCATTTCGAACTATTTGGGAGACAATATCTTCAGCTTGTGGGCATGTTTTATCGTAGTAATGGGGATCAAGAACTGCTTCTGTCAGTGGCGGAATTGTGACAAAAATAAGCAAAATTATTGAAGAACAAATCATTTGGAAAGCCATTTTATTCGAAAATTTAAAGAGACGATTAGATTAAACCGAGAATTCAGAAGTTGAAGCAGGTGATAATAAGATTGCTACAGAACTATATGCTATATATAGTTTTGATGTGCTTGATAAATAAGTTGCGAAATTTCCAGTTTGATGCATGAAAAATCAGTACTTTTAAGTTACTCAATCTAGATAAATTATGTGGAAAATAAAGCTCATTGTTGTGCTTTGAAAACAAGCATTTCCAACTATTGTCCTAATTGAGTTGTAAGATCAACAGTACTACAATTAATAAACATTTTCTGAATTTATTTTTTATTTTAATTTATATTGTTTTGTAGTTTAGATACCAATTATGCATTCGAGGCACGGTGTAGACATTGGAGAAGTCGGATAGAAATAAACTACTGAACTCATTCACCTTCTAACATTTTTCAGTGAAGTAATTCAAAGTTCGATGTTGCCTATCTGTAAAAATATCAATATCTTAGGCTTTCTTTGAAAGTAAACACCACATGAAGTTTCACTTTTAATGACGAAATTGTTTTGCCTTGAAAATAATGACTTTTTACGATAACAATATTCGTTGTTTAAGTGAAATTTCTTGTAGTGAAATATGATATTCATTCAGACACATTCTATATTATTAGAATTATTATTCAGTACAATCCAATAACATAATCCAATCAACCAAATGTTCGTTTCAAATATTAATTTTTTCCTTCATTTTAGGAAATAATGAATATTATATTGCGAGCAGTGCTTAACGAGGAAAATTTCATGTTTTGGAGACGTAAGAGCTCCAAAGTTTGTTCATTGCTGATGGTTAGTATGTATCAATCAGGTTGGTTTTCGAAAGCCAACAGTAGGTGAAAGATGGAGTACATCAATGTATAGTACCGTACTTCAAGTATTCATACAACCCGTTTAGACACCGTTTGGCTTCCATTAAATTTATAATACATTTTTCTCTCTTATTTTTTTACCACAAATTCTCCAATAAAATAATATTAAACATAAACCAAAAACTTTTTTTTTTTTTTTCAATTACACATTCCCAAAGAAAATCATTCCAAAAATTATAACATCAAATAATGGGGGCCAAACTGGAGCTTAATAATAATCCATATTTGGTGTAGTTTAAAATGTTGATAAAAATTAAATTAAAATCAACAATTAATTAATTTTATAAACATATTTTAGGGTACCCACAATTTTTATCAATTTTTCAACTATATATTTCATCTACTTTTATCAAAGAGGGCATAGTATTAATTAGAATTGGACCGATTAATAAAATTTTAGATTTGTATTCTCCAAATTCAATTTGATTTATTTTTCTGATCTACGCCGTCCATGTTGACAACTTATGGCATAATCACTAAGCTCTCTTTGACAATCATTATTTGGGAAGACAAAGTTTTGGATAGTGATTTTTACGAGAATATGTAATTAAAAAGTAAAAAAAAAAAAAAGAATTTATCTACAGAATATTTTATTATATGAATGTGTGATTAAAAATAACTATATACCAAAAAGAATTTTCAAATAATGATTGTTAA